TGCCTATGTTCCGATATAAACTTACAGTATTATGACTGTGTTCCTGTTTACCTACTAAAGAATCATCGGAAAGTATAGTTCTGGTTGCTCTTAAAAATAACTTATGACAACAATTGCTGACTTATGACTATTATGTAATTATTGAAATGCCTAAAACCTGGCTTATTACGTGTCTTGAAAAAGCTGATTATGGACAAGAAGCAACAAAATGACAGTTAACTTCACATCGTACATCGATTTGGCTCTTCTGAAAAAACTATTGACTACCAAAGGTTTTTACAAGACTATCAAACACTATCGAATGACTATCAAACGATTAGAAGTAGAAAAAGTTTGCAATATAGTCTAATTCAACGGACACACCGATCGTGGAATCGATTGGGATCCTTGATTCGCATATGGTTTTTCTCATTTTTCTTGCGAACGATGCACTATCAAACGTTTTTATTAATTAATTCGCAACTACCAAACGATTTTGCATCGATTGAGCTCCGGAAAAACAAAATCCGGTTAAAAACAAAAAAGTGCCGGCCAACTTCACACCAGATTTTGATTTTGATTTTCTGAAAAGACTAATGACTATCAATCGTTTTTACAAGACTATCAAACACTATTAAACGACTATCAAACGATTGGAATAAAAAAAGTTTAAAAAATAAAAGTTGGCTGGCCAACTTCACGCAGGTTATTTCTTCTTTTTTCTATACTGGAACCCGTACGGCAGTGGTGGGGGCCGCGTAAAGAGAGATAGCAAGGACACAGACGAGTGTAGTAGGCTATCTGTATCACACATTGTACAGTCTCTAAAAAAGTTTAAGCTGAGATAAATCAGTGCGCACGGGGAGGACTGAGCCAACATAACATAATCTGAAATAGTGGCGTATATACAATATTTTATTTCGAAGACTGCTAAATATTTTTTGTCGTTTTTATAAGGCTCTATATTTATATCATGGAGCCTAGATAGGATTTATTTGTACTTGTATTTCAGTGCTCCTTCTATCGTATCGTATTGGCACTGATATGTCGGCAGGACAACACTTTTGCAGGGCTTGTACACCACATGCGCAGTTCAATTCGAAAAGGACAACCTCCTAGTTAAGGTGAGACAACTCCGCGCTGGCCGGGTTACTTTCGAATACAGGCGTATGGATTCCAGTATGGTTAGAGTTCAGTGGTTGGCACTAGTTAGGACCACCTCCGTGAACCTGGCCGGCGGACTTTGAGTTTGTGAAATTTTTCTTTTACAAATGGTTTGTTGGTCATTTGTAGGTATTTGTAGGATGAATCAAAACGTTTGTTGGTTAACGGTTTATTTAAAAAATAAAAAATAAAAATTTACATTAAGTTAACCGTAATTTTTTTATTTTTTACCTATCCCCGTTTTTCACGTGGCTAATCGATGCGGAATTGTTTGTAGGTCACAGATAATCCAATTAGTATGTTTGTCGGATCGTTATTTCAATAAAATAAGCAAGAAATGTATTTAGTGAATTTTATGCGGGACGGTCATATGATTGCAATTAAATTACGAAAACTTATGACAATTTTTGTACTTTAGTGGTATTTGCAAATAAGACATTTTTCTGCCAAAATTTTTCTTGCAGACATCAATTATCGCTGTCGGCACCGGGGACGATCCGGTCATTTACATTTATTTTTCGCACCAGTTACCGACAAACGTTTTAATTACTTTATTTGTAACCTACAAACGATTTCGAATCGATTAAGTACCAATTAAATAAACATTTATCATTAATTACGATTTTTCCGGTCAACTTCCCGTGGTCATATGACCGTCCCGCGTAAAATGCACCAAATACGTTTTTTGCTTATTTTATTGAAATAACGATCCGGCAAATATACTAATTGGATTGTCTGTGACCTACAAACGATTCCGCATCGATTGGCCACGTGAAAAACAAAGATAGATAAAAAAATTAAAAAATTACGGCATACTTAATGTACAGTTTTATTTTTGATTTTTTTAATAAACCGTTAATTGACAAACGGTTTAATTAATCCTACAAATACCTACAACCGACCTACAAATGATCTGTAAAAAAAAAGTTCAAAAAGTCAAAGTACGCCGGCCAGGTTCACGGAAGTGTTAGGACCCTGGTCTATTAACCCTTTGCGGTCCGATGTCGAGTATGGCTCGACATCGCTTTTCGTTCTAGCACGTCCGATGTGGAGTGTGACTCGACATCGCTTTCTGTTCTGCCGCCTCCTGTATCAAGTTTCACTATACGTCTCAATTGTAGACAAGATAAGAATGAGCTACTGCAGCAGATGTAAAATAAGCGATGCACTTGCAAATCCAGCGCAGACCTGCTGGAACGAAACGGTGAAGAGCGTTCGGTCCGCAAAGGGTTAAGGCCTTCACACACAAAACGACGTAACGACGCAAGACGTAACTGTAAACCGTAATCAGTAAGCACCATCGCACACCACACGCGTAAGGAGTAAGCTACGGCCAATCACACAAAGTGGCGCGTCTGGAGGGTTTCCTGCCAACGAAAAAATTATCAGAACTGGAGGTTGAAAAAGAATACAAGATTACCAGCATAAGGAAAATTCAAACGAAATTTGGAGCAAGACACATCGTTGACGTGGAGAATAGCTTCTCGGTATTCCTGCCAGCAAGGATCTCGAGGGTTCTGACGGACGATGAGGATTTCTTTCAACGGATGGTTTTGGATACCGCTGAGAATCGGCTTTGTATGCGTTACCTCGGTGGGAAATTCAACCTCATGGAATTTCGATATTTGTAAACGTTCATACTTATGATTTAAATAAATTGCCACGTAAGGGACAAAAAATTCAACTGCTTATTTCTTTCATATACACACTTTATTCTTAATCAAAAAATATACATTCCATCATCCAAGTCCTTAACGATTTAACATTTTCCATCGCACAATTGAAATGCGGAGCATGGTGATGCGTACATGGGGTAAGTGAATTTTTTCTCAATTTTTGCAGCGAAGGGCAGCCCAGATCTCCCAAGTTCACGATGTTTAACGATTGTCCCATAAATTTCTCCAACCAATTTTTCTTTTCCAATCCTTTTACATAAATTCTGATAGCATCTCGTAAAATAACTCGAAGAATATTTCCGGCTTGGTTGTAAGATGTATCGCCAGAGTTCCAAGACATGCCATGAAAGTTGCGTTGTAACCACAAATTCATGCACTTGTATTTCGCTGGAAGAGAGCTCCATGGACACGGTGGTTGAAACAGAAACGTCGCAGGCTCGGAGAAATCGCTACCCACTCCAATCACAGACAGCTCCTTCAAGACAAACTCGTCCGAGGGTTTCTTGAAACCTTGTACGTCCACGATGAACTCCATTGTGACAGACTGCTTGCATTGAGATGATCGTAGGGTTTTTATACTAATTTTTTTACCCCACCACTAATTGGATTATATTCTACTATTCGATCATGCAGAATTAAACAGAACGCTGATGTTTCGGTGGGGAAATTTTGGTCTGCCTCGAATTCGAGACGAACGTCGACTGGTCCAAATTTGAGCGACTCATTTTGCTTAGAGCAATCGATGACAATTAGTGAACCATAGACGAGGAAATCACTCTTTCTCAGGATGGGCTCAGGCTCTTTGCCGTAATAAGTAGCTTGAAAGTTTACATACATCTCGTACAGCAGAGCAAATTGATTTCGATCAATGTCAAGGTTTAGATTTCCATAGGGGTAGCATTGTGAATTCAAGAAGAGTTTAACGTCTCTGACATTGCAATGGTCAAAGTGACTTTTCAAGAAAGAAAGAAATCACACTCAAGAAAGAATTGCGCATTTTTATCAAAGTGTCGTCATTGTACATACTATAATTTTATTTTTGTAGCTACTTTCTTTTGTAAAAAGTAAGTACACGATAATAATTATGTACTCATAATTAAGGATTTTATATTTTATAAATTGTAACAATATTGAGATATTGCAACATGATATGCTACATGATTACTACATGATATGCAGATTAAAGTAGTTATACAAGGAGAGTTCTGGATACAGATTCCTGCACCGACATATTACCGACCTGTGGGTTCTCATCCGTGCTAAGTTGGGACGTGGTGCCCCCTAGGTGAGCGACGTTGGCGCCCCCTAGGGGAGCGACGTTGGCGCCCCTTAGGTGAGCGACGTTGGCGCCCCCTGTGTGTGTGTATGGTAAGTTAGGGTGATTGGGCCCTGTATGAAAGATTTCTGCTTACCGACGGCCCCCGAAATTTTTGTCTTTGAAGAGGGTGCTGCGCGCGCAGTAGTCGACGGCGCCGACCCCTTCATCGGCTGACGTCATCGGCACGGGGGCCCTAGCTTTACGTCAGGTGTCAGGGATTTTACATCAGGCGTCAGGGGTTTTACGGCAGATTTCAGAAATATTACGGCAGATTTTAGGAATTTTACATCAGACGTAATTGAGTACATTGACCTTTTGTACTTGCGATCCCGAGGCAGCTCCTACCCTTTACACTTCCCCGCAGACTAGCATGTAGAGTCGGTGGAGATCAAGAATG